TCACCGCACCTCCCATACCAGCAGGGTCGAGGGGGAGCGGAGTGACCCCCGACAAGTGAGGAGACCGTGGGTGTGCACCCTCCACTCCCCCACCCTGCCCCCAGGGGGCCCAGAGGGGCGTGGGGTCTCCCCTGCACTAGGCTGCAGGAAGGCTGTGCTCTGGGAAGGTGTGGACGTCCCCCGGAACCGCGACAAGGCGCCGTCCGCAGGTGGTACTTGCCGGGCCCAGCAGGCAGGGGACACGCGGCCCCACGCGGACTGCGGGCATCGCCTCCTCCAGGGAAACTGCCTGCTAAGGAGATGAAGCAGGACCCTGACTCTCACCCCCTAAAGCCGAGATGTCCAGAGTACAACTGAAAATCGCCTGTCACTCCAAGAACAAGGTCCATCATGACCGGAACAAGAAAAGGCAACAGCAGACCCACGGTGACAGGACTCTGGTTGGAACCGGCATGGATTTCAGAGCATCCATCATTAAAAATGCGCCCCCCCGGGCAATGACAGACTGTCCTGAAACAGGTGACACCGCAGAGCTGCACCTCCAAGTGACTCACAAGCAGGGTGCCAGCAGGTCCTCTTTCTTCCTTCAAGCTTATGGTCAGGGAGCTTTAGATTCCTTCCGTCCTGAGATCCTTCCTTCCGTTATTCCGGGAATAAGGTGCGGAGACCCAGCCAGCCAACAATGCCATCAGGTGCTTATCAGATGCAAGGACTCGATGGAGGGCAGAGATACGGGGCGCACGCGCAGCGAGGGACAGGGGTCCGCGCCCCAGCAGCATCAGGGCGTGCCAGGGTAAGCGCCCCACGTGAGGCAGAAACATGGGCACTCCGTGGAAGAACACAAAAAGTCTGCCAAAAGAGCGTGAGGAGGCTTTCGGCACAGACTGGACGGCAGAAGCACAGTGAAACAGGGGAGCAACGAAGGAGAGCGGCAAGAGAGAAGCGTGTGGTTCCCAAAGTCAGAAGGCGGGAGGAGGCCAGAGAGGAAGACACACCACGGCGTGCACGCCAGTCCCTTCGAGATCTCTCCGCACGGATGCTGGCCTCAAGCTGCGGCACGACTGGGACTGTCTGCCCTTGAAGACGGGAAGACAGAAGTCGCTCCATTTCTAGTTGGATGCCGAGAAGGTCTGGGAGTCGATCAGAGCGTAAACGGGGAGGAACGGCCTATCAACACAGCGGGGTAGAGAAATGGCTTCTACCTTCGCCGAACCTGGTCTTGCTAAGCAGGTCTCACGAGCTGCAGCGGTCACTAGCCCTCCCCTAGCTGCATCCCAAGGAGGCCCAGAGAGGCGCTGCCCTGCTGTGCCTGGGGTGGTGCGAGCCGCACCACTGGGGGCGGGCCCAATTTCTGCTGTTGGGCCAGAGCGCACTCGGGGGACGAGCCCCGCAGAGGGGGCGATGCAGTGGGCAAGGGGCCTGGGGATGCGACGCCCTGACCCAAGTCAACCACCCTACAAACTCTCCAACGACAGCAACACAAGCAACCAGAAACTGGGGCCAGGGGACGACCAAGCTGTGGTCCCACTGGGGCCTCATGGGAGCGAGAGTGGGAGAACAGAAATCGGGCAAGTAGGACATCTGTGTCTTTCCCTCTCTCCTGCTACGACCCCAAAACATACGGGGCTCTTGGGATGCAGTGACGGTGAAGAACAGAGGGAGGGCGGCCCTAATGCCCCACGGATCTCCCCGCACTGTCACTGACCGCCCACAACCCCATCGCTCCAGGATCACGATTCCCACCGCGGGCTCACCCATATGCAGACGCTGGGTGCCCTGGTCAGAGCTGCTGCCCAAACTGAAGCCTGTAATTTATTAACTTCCCTGTTGGCCACGAACTGGTCCCTCCCAGACCCTCTTATTCTGTGTCACAGCATCTTCCTGAACCCCCGGGGTTTGGTACGGTACCTGGTACCAAATGCGTGCTCTACGGAAATTACCAAATGAACAGAAAAAGTCCGGAAAGCGAGAACTGATCAAATGGTTTCCGTCAAACATGTTATATGCCATGTTCAAGTTAGCAGAGCGTAACTCTGGTCAGATTTGTTCTCTTTAACACAGGGGATCATGGAGGACGCCACGGAGCCCCACCCTGCACCCGGCGGGGTCAGCACTGCCTTGCAGAGGACGCACACTCCAGACCACCCAGCACAACGGCCTGTGCATGCAGCCCACAGACCTGCACCCCTGCAACCCCTCCCAACCGCTCCCTCCGTGTCCCATGGAAGTGCGTTTTTGAAATTGTCTGGCCAGGACTAAGGATGCAGTGTGAGGCCACGAATAATACAAACTGGCTTTTAGGGGCGCCTGGGGGCTCAGTCGGTAAAGCGTCTGCCTTCGGCTCAGGTCATGATCTCAGGGTCCTGGGATCGAGCCCCGCATCGGGTTCCCTGCCCCGCAGGAAGTCTGCTTCTCCCTCTCCCACTCCCCCTGCTTGTGTTCCCTCTCTCGCTGTCTCTCTCTCTGTCAGATAAATAAATAAAATCTTTAAAATAAATAAATAAAATGTTTTTGGAAATTCCCTCCCTGGAGCAATCTCCAGGGATCCACCCCTTATTCACTACACCTGCTGACCTCTCTGGGCACTCAAACTCACCAGCCCAGGGACAGAGGCCCCAGACCCAGCTCCCCACTCCCGGAGGATAGACGCAGGAACGCCCCCCCCACCGTGCCTTCCACGCTGGCGGACCCCACACCTAAGCCACCATGGAGGATCAGATTTCAGGCCCCGAATGGGAGGATTCGTTGTGAGACGAGACTTAGTTTCATTGTGTGCCCGAGCCAAGAGGTCCCTGGCGAGGCTCTCAGCATCCGGGGGCTCGTGGCTTTGAAGGAGAAGCCGCGTTCAAATGCTAACAGGGAAAGAAAAGAACTAGAGGTGGAGGCTGCTCAGACAATCCAAGGAGCGGGGACAGGAGCGGCCAGGGGCGCTTCTTGCCTTTTTCCGGATGTGCGTCCCCCACACTGTGATGACCTGCCAGGGACCCTCGAGGAAGCTCCCCGGGTCCCTGCTGAGCCAGAGGCAGCAGGAAGGTGCACAGGGGTCCAGCAGGATGGCTGCCCGCCAGTGGGAGCATCAGCCCGACCCACCGCACCCCCCCACCGGCCGCCTTCTGCACCCCGCCCCCCCGGAACTTTAGGAACTGTGTGGGCCCCGAGGACAGCGAAACCAGGGCCAAGCCAAGCGACAGCTGACCAGCACCTGTGCTCCAGGTCTTGGACACCGAAGGGACGGAGCCGTGATGAGGCACGATGTGCTACTTCTTCTCGCTCATTCTCCTACGAGACTTTTCTTTCTGCAGCCTCCCTCAAGAGCCCGCAGGGCACTCCTGTTCCTTTTCATCATCTCTGCTGTGACAAAGAGGGTCAGGGGCCTCTGTTTTGGAACAAACAGTGCGTCCTGATGGCGTTGGTCCTCCAGGAGGGCGGCAGAAGTTTGAGGAGGTCATGGTTCCTGGGATGCCAGCCTCACTCAGAGGAATGGGGAGCGGAAGCAGAAGCTACTCCCAACTCCGTGTGGGGGACGTTTTCTCTGTGAGGGCTCATGGGGGAAGGAAAAAAACCACACTCCAGAATAAAAACTCAATGGTCATGCTAGCTATCCAGAGAGAAAGAAACACGAAACCTTTTGAGGCTGAAACAGGACATGTAAAATGTCATTTGGCATCTACCACAAGGCTGACGCTCGAGAAGGGTCTGCTGAATAAACCCAATTAATCAAGGGATTCAAACCCTTTTGTTCTGCGTTGTAGACAGTTTAGGAAAACCCAAGTGCGTCAAAGGTCATGGAAGGAGGCCACATAAAGTAGGCAAGCTGGAGAGAAAGCCCAGCACTCTCGTCCCAAGGACTGTGGACCCCAATTCCTCGGCCCAGGGGCCCCTCTGTTAGGGGCTAAATCCAGATGTTCCCATGCTGAAGCCCTAACCCCTGAGCCTCAGAATGTTCTGTATTTGGAGAAAGGGTCTTCAAAGGGGTGATTAAGATCAGATGAGGTGATAGGTGGGCCTTAATCCAAGAGGACTCACGTCCTTATAGGAAAAAGAGATTAGGACACAGAGGCACACGGAAGGGAGACCGTCACGCTAGGACCAGGGAGAAGGCAGCCGTCTTCGTGCCAGAGAGAAAGGCTAAAGCCACCTGCTAAAGGAGAATCGTCTCTGCTGACACCCTGATGTCGGACTTCTGGCCTCCAGAGCTGAGCCAAAATACACATCTGTGGTTCAAGCCACCCAGGCTGGGGTATTAGCTACGGCAGCCCGAGCTGACCGACCACTCTCCCACACCCACCGTCCTCCCTGGGAGCAAAGGCTCAAGCAGGCGCATTTGCTAGAACACTGTTCTGGCCTCAGTTCCCCCACTAATATACCCACAGAGAGCATGATAAGATCCCCACACCCCAGCCGACCAGGACAAAAGAAAACAGTCCGTGCTCAGGTGTAGCACTGAGGGGAGGACGCGCCAACACCTGCCCCGGATCTTCGTTATTGATGGGCCCCCCAATATCAGGACTAAGGTGGGGCAGACCCACACAAGTGGTGTTGGCAAACAAGGCCTGAGTGAAGAGCCGCACCCCCTCCCCCCGCTTCCATTCTGGCCTGTTACCAAACACAACAGCTGCGAACCTCTGAGGGCTCATATGCACATCTCAGGACAATCCAGGAGGTATCATCACCCCCTCTTGACAGAACACCAAGGGGGGCTGGAGAGGGAGAGGCATGCGCACAGTGGGCATGAAGGGTGGTCTGCAGAGCCCCACTTGAGGCCCAGCGAGGAGAGGTCTCGGGCCACCCACCTCAGCCCAGTGAGCAAAGGGGCGGAGAGGGGCCACGGAGAGACAGGTGCACAGACTCCCTGCAGAAACCCCAGAATAAAGGAGCCATTGTTATGCCCAGGCCTGCAACGGCAAGCATTTATTGATCTCGGCTTAATCAATATTTAACAGACGATTCTCCTACTAAGAGAGAATCCTACACACCAGTGAAAACCCAATGGACCTTACCTGTCAGGGGCTTGCCCGGGCTCAGGTGGTTTGGCAGCCGCCTCAGCTTGACCAAGAGGACCCAGGTGAGAACCAGCTGCCGGTCACGGTCACGGCGCCCGCGCTCCCCACGGCTCCATGCTCCGGCTCAGCATGGTGCTCACTCAACTCCAAAGCTGAAAGTCAAAGAGGCCGTCACTGAACACGCGGAACTTATGCAAACCTGCATTTTATGCTCTGCACCCAAGACTAAAATCTTTTAAAACAGACACACAGGATATCTTTTTTTTTTTCAAGGAGATTTAATTTAAAAATTCTTCAAAGAGCAGAACGAGAAAGAAGTCCAAGAGGAGCAGGCTTCTAGTTGCCATGTCAACGGACTGCAGAGACAGATGCCTGCAGAGACCAGAGACCAGAGAAGCAAGGGAGGCAGCTCTGGGTCCCAGGCCATAGTCTGCACGTGTCCCCCCACCCCCAGGAAAAGCAAGTGCCCCCGAGGCGGGCGGGGTACAAATGCACAGACCTTTGCCCTCTTGCAAGGCCAAGTTCACCTGTAATTCATTCTTCGAGCCCAGATCAAAGCCCACATCCTTCCCAGGGTCCTCCCAGACTACAGCCCTCACCCCACCCCACAGAGACCCCCCCCAGCTCAGCCCAAGTACCAGCCCCCCGGTACAGAAGGCTCCGCGGAACACCGGGCACGCATGTTTAACAGGAGAGGGCAGAAGCAGGTGGACCTGCCCTTTGAATCCCGCTACTTGCTTTGATTCCCTCATGCAACTCATATTTCCTGAGGGATGAGCAGGAGGATTGCTCTAGGCTCGAAGGACAGCATCAGGACCAAGACAAAGCCTGGCTGAGCTTGGAGGTGAGTTTTTAGTCACCTGGGCGCTCCCCGACACAGTTTCCTCTGCAGGACAGTGCGCAGAGAGCCCACCTCCCCGAGGACTGTAATACATCACATCGGAATGCCACTGACTCTTCACAGGTCAAATGCAACATACTCCCACGGGGACTCAGTGGGGCGATCAGCACAGAGCAAGAGTGAGTCCAAGAGAGTCTTCATCAGAGCTGCTGCCTCTGTGTTTGAGCTGGTCCACGGGCTGCGACGTCGGTGCCCTTGGTGGGGAGAACAGAGCCCTAAACTAATTCTTTCTGATCACTCCACGGTGGAAATAAACCCTGCCCTGCCTCTGACCTACTACGGAAGAAGTCATGGACCTAGAACTTACTAGAAAACCAGCATGAAGCACAATGGCCAGGGATGAGGCGCAGGAGCCAGAGAGCCTCTTATCTCCTGACACCACCCTGTCTCAGCAGGTGACATCTAGGGTAGGCACTAAGCCTCTGAGTCCCCAGCTCCAAAATCAACATAACGACAGTATCTTCATCTAGAGTTTTTTTTTTTTTTCTTCCATCTAGAGCTTTTAAGAAAAAGAAATGAGCCTGTAAAGACGTAGGACCCAACATGCGGTAAATATTAAAGGAATATACTAGACATGAACCATGACACGTCCCACAGTTCCCCCACGATCAGGTGCTAGACACTTGGCCACCCGCAAGCCTGCCGGTGTTCAGACGGGATGCTGATCTTCTTAGGACCGAAAGGGGGACACAGGATACAGGATTATGTGCCTGTTCAACACTGAACATCACCCGTCGATGCAAAGGCATTTTTAGTAAGGGCACCTGCTTTCACCCTCTCAAAGAATGTGCAAGTCTTGGGACACCTGGGTGGCTCAGTCGTTAAGCGTCTGCCTTCGGCTCAGGTCATGATCCCAGGGTCCTGGGATCGAGTCCCACATCAGGCTCCTTTTTCAGTGAGGAGCCTGCTTCTCCCTCTCCCTCTGCTGCTCCCCCTGCTTGTGCTCTCTCTCTCTCTCTGACAAATAAATAAAAATCTTAAAAAAAGAATGTGCAAGTCTGAAACACATTACAGCAATTATGTCCAGTGCAACGTCTCTAAATTCTAGTAGCTATGTTGACCACAAATTAAAAAAAAAAAAAAAAGTGAATGGTCAAATAAAAATGGGGCTCTTTGAAATGACAAAGGGCTGGAATGTGGGAAAACGGACTCCGGTCCCATAACACCTCTGCTCCTGAAATTCTGAGACATTTCCCATCTTTTCCAGAGAAACTAGTCTTCCCTGGATTCTGATCCAAATGCCCCATGACTGCTTCCAAATGCGTCTTTTCCGCATAGGCCTTTAAATTTGCAACATACGCTTGGGAGGTTTGCCTTATTTTATAACGGGCAACATAAATTCATCTACTACTCGAGAAAAATGACACGCAGTTGCTTGTCAAGCTCATCGCCACTTCGACCATTTCTATTTTTAAGAAAGTGGATATTGAACTTCCCAGCAGACAGAACAAAGACAGGATGATTCCTGAACGTGGTGAGCTGGCAGATCCACTGAGATGCGTCCTCATCAACAGCAGGACCAAGCAAGAGGCACAGAGCCCCTGCTGCGAACAAGCCTCCAGGCGCCGTGAGCAACAGCCCATCAGCACCCACGACCACGACCACCAACACTGCCACTGCTGGGGTGGTGACACGGAACAGAGTCCCCGACACTGCACCCTTCGCCCGTCAATCAAGACAGCGCGTCCCCTGCAAGCTCCCCATCAGACACGACGTGAACTTGAAATCCGACGTGCATGAACTTGGGCAAAACCAAACGTCCTTACTGACTTCCAAAGTATGGCAGAAACAAAGGACCCCTTGATTTCTGCGTAGCATCTGGGATATCTTCCCAAACTTCCAGAGTTTATATTAATCTTTCCTTCGGTCTAGTTTTCGCACACTAAATATTTAGAGTCATAACAGTGACTATTTAGACCCTCAACAAATCCCACCTTCCGTGACGAGGATATTCAGCGTGTGTGGCCGCACCACTCAGGAACAGTCTATGCCTTCGCAAAAGGGGACGGAATGCCCTTGATGTAAAAAAAATAAATTCGGGTGCCTGGGTGGCTCAGTCGGTTAAGCGACTGCCTTCGGCTCAGGTCATGATCCTGGAGTCCCGGGATCGAGTCCCACATCGGGCTCCCTGCTCGGCAGTGAGTCTGCTTCTCCCTCTGCCCTCTTCCCTCTCGCGCTCTCTGTCTCTCATTCTCTCTCTCTCAAATAAATAAATAAAATATTTAAAAAAATAAAAATAAATAAAATAAATAAAAATAAATTCAATATCGTACGGATAGCGGAGTCCACTTGTGACAGCAAATTGAGAAAGGCGAGTTGAGAAAGAGATCAATGGAATGGAAGTGAAGGAAAAGTCATTATAAAATGTCAGAATGCTAGTGCCGGAACCTGAGGACAGCCTTTAAAAGAGAAGCAAAAATCAAGCCGAAATTCCAAAATTCCACAGCTCACACCACTTTGAGTTGGTGCTCCTGCAGCCAGAAATGCCATCGTGACCGCCCTGGTCGAGAGGGCGGAATGTGAGGACAAAGGAAAGCGGCCACACCCAAATGCCAACATCGTCCTCTCGAACCACCCAAAACACAGGAAGTGTTCAGCACAATGCAGCAGGGACTCCGTGGCCCGCGCCCAGGAAGGCCCTCCCTCCGTGGCCCGTCCACCAGCAGACCCTCAGGGGCTCCCACAGGGATGGCAAGCTGGCCCAGGTCAGGGGATCCCATCCCAACTGGCTGCCATCACAGAAACTGCCCTGACTTAATCAAAATGTATGCATGGGCCCAGAACAGGGTTCTCAACTCCACGGTCAAGCAGAACCAACAATCCTACCAGTCCTCACCGTGGGGCTTCCAGGAGCCACCGAGCAAGCTCAAAGATGGGCTATCCAAAGGACCCCTGCCTGAGGCCTCCCCGACTGGACATGCTGCAAGACGGGGGGCTGCCGCCAGGAAAGATACAGGAGACGACTTCCCTCGACAGCCAAAGTCAGTGGGACAGCAAGGGACAGGGTAAACGCACGCGCCCACGGACACAGTGACTGCCCGGAGAACGGATGAAGAGCCAACACACACACGCACATTTTAGCTCAGTCCCAAGAACAGAAGAACAGCCCTACATAAACTAAAGAACGTCGCCACTTGCCTGAGACGTAGAAGAGGCCTGGACTAACGGAAACATGTGAAGTTCCCAAATGGGAAGATGAAACCTCAGAGATTTTGATGCTCTTCAAAGCCATCAACTGAGGAAACTAAAGCTAGTTTTGTAAATGAGGTGCGGTTATCCATCTAAATGCATTAAAACTAACAAGATCAATCATGAGACCACCGATTGTACAACATTAAGGGAGGGTTACTCTCATCTCAGACTAAATTATAAGGCAAAAATAGTTAGTGTGGTACCCCCACAGAGCTACATGCAAGAGGGTTCATCAGAAAGAGTGGGGCTGACCAACAGGAATGTGCAGATTTGCATCCCGTGCTCCACGAAGCATCCTAGTAAGAGCATGTCCGAATCATCAAGCTTCCACAACCTGGCACGCAGGATCCACGGGGCTGAAATCCCAGGGTTGACCAGCTCTCCCAGACGGTCCTGCTGATGCCACCGAGGATGAAGGGGATGGCCGTGATGCCCATGGATGGCGATGACAGCCACCTTGACTGACAGCCTGTCATAGGTCACACGTCTCACCAGATGCTCAATAACCAATAATCAAACGGTTTTGAGGATTAAGTTGAAACAAGTAAATGCAGAGAAGACATATAATGAAATGTAAAAATGAATGGTTCTTACTTAAGAACAAGGAACGACTGTCAATCCTTCAAAGCAGAATCATTATCCCATTTTAGGGATGAAGAAACCAAGGCTGGGATACAATGCGTACCTCCCAAGGTCCCACAGCTAAGAAATGGAAGAGCCAGGACTGAATCAACAGGTATTTATTTGAATCTGCCCCACCTATTTTATTATTTTGTTGATGAACAGCATTTGTACGATAAGAAGAGAATAGAAAAATTTTGGCACTCATTTACCACGTTTCTCCTCATTTTTGTTCTTTTGGATCACATTGTTTGGAGCATATTTTATCATTTTATTTTAGAGAAGAAAAAAAAAAAAAACGGTCCAAAATAAGAGCCTGAAATTCCAAGCACAGAGGATAACGGGGCGGAGGCGGGGGGGGGGGGGGGGATTCCCCTGATTTGCAGGTCAGAGATGGGGTGTAAAAGAGGGAACGTTCTTGACCTAATGAAAGCATCT